ATTTTCTTTTAAAATGAAAATTAAGTAGTTCTGTGCAGCCTGTTAGAGCAATTGACTTGATATCCCTGCTTTGACCTCATCAACAATTCAGAGCAGGTTGTATGTACAATTGACCTCAGAAAAAGACATTTATCTTTGAAGTTCATTCTTCAATTTTTATGGAATATTGTTTTCTGATGGCACAAATGAAAGAACAAGTAGCAAATAAAACAAAGGTTTTCAAAGTGCAGGTATAAATAACATAAATCCGGAATGGCTTAACATTGCTGTGGTTTAGCAGACTCTTAAAGACAGTAACTACTGTTGAGCAAGCAAGAAGGTCAAACTAAGTAGGTAAAGACTGTTTATTTTTTGCTTGCTTGTAGGAGCATATGACAGATTATGGATTTGGAGATAATGTGCTAACGTAAGTTCACATGCTACACATCTTGGTTTGTTTAACCATCACTTACTAAATAAACCATAGTGGTTGACTTTCTGAGCCAAAACCTATGGTTTATAAAGCAGCGGCTGGATTTATACAGTATGCTAAACCAAAACAAGAGCAACTACATTACTGGCTTAGCATGATGTACAAATCTAGCTACTCTCTTCTTCAGCACACTAGAAAGTTCAGCCTAGAAAGAAATGGATCTTTGCAGTTAGCACCAAACATTTACTGCTATTAAAAAGTAACCCCTGATGCCCTCAGCCATAACAGATCTGTAATTCCAATAAATACAGTATACATGGTACTCTGAGTACCAAACAAAGTGCTGAAGGGGAGTGTTCTTTTTCTGCCACTGTAATATAGAGGCAAATTGCATTTAGACTGCACACAGACAACAGGTACAAAGCAGGAGAGTTGATGAGACAAAAAGTTCTGACGTTACTTGAAATGTGGGTGGATCCTTCCTTTAGCCCAATTGTTTACACAGGAAAATCTTGTAGATGATTTCTTTTCCTACCCATACAGGCAGAGTACTGTAAAAAGCTACGTAGTAATTATCAGCGTGGTGCTTTATCCATCTGTGGGTTAGCTTTCTCTTCTGAATCAGCTATGTTCACTGTCTTAACCAAGCAGGGAAAATAGGAGCTGGACATAAGAGGAAAGTTGTTTCCACTCTTTGGTTCTAAATCATTTTCTGGTTAGTGTGAGAAAATTTAAATAATGTAGAACTAATTTTATTTGGAGTCAGTATCCTTGATACATTACGATTACAAATACTAGGTAGGGATTACTAAATATTACCTCCAGGTTAGAGTTAACAGTATAGGAATGAACATCAGAACAAGATTAATCACATGGGAGATAGGCGGAATTATTGTTTTTCCGTATATTGATATCATAACGCAGGTTATGAGGTGGAAAAATGACCTACTTCCTTTTGCTTATTTACTGCTAGCGATAACAAGTGTTGCTTGAACCAAGAGGCTCTAAGAGAGAGCAGTAACGATCTCCATTTCTTAAGATCACATGCTGTTCTACCGGTCATTTTATTTAAATATGTCCACATTACATATGTTGGTGCCTAAAATTTTCTGCCTCACAGCCTGACGAATTTCTCTATGCAGGATAAAATTCACCCCGGGAGCATCATGCACATCTTAAGTAGTAAAGGAAAGTTTTGTTTCTTAAAGTAGTTTTTGTGATCTCTTTGGTGGATTGAGCTTACCAGGAAGACATGAAGAGGGCGTATTCCAACAATAGTAAGGGTGTATGTGGCTATTTTAATTTTCCTAAATCAAAATTTTCATGCAAGAAAACCCTATCGGTTGATGTATATTTTCCTAAAAAAGTTAGAAATGACAGTCCTGCCTAAGTACTAAGATTTTCTAGCAAATATTGAAAGCTAGAGCCGGGATTAAAAATGTGGACACCCACACATGCAAATTCATGCTTTATATTCTCAATTTAGTCCAACCTTTCATTCTGCCTTCATTCAGTAATATTCAACCAAAATTGGAGGCTGAACTGCTATTTAGGAACATAAAGCTCATACTAGTTCAGTCCCTGGTATTTCTAGTTTATGGAGCTTAGATACCAGGGCATGGAATTTTTTTGTCTTGCGATTTAAAAAAAAATCCCAGAGGGCAGGCAAAGTAGAGAATACTTAATAACCAAATGGGCCTAATTTCAGACAGGTAGCTACAAGCTTCCATCAAATAGGATAACACATTTTGAATATGATAGAATTGATACAGATGCATCCAGTGCAAATATTTGTGCAAGAGTTATTACACCGAGATTAAGCTGTGCTGCTCCTGTATTATATATTTATGTATTTTAATGTTATCTTAACTTATATCTATGGCACTCAGGCTATAAAACTTTCTCCATATATAGGACAATTAGATACTTAAATTCCTTCTGAATGAGATGTATTACAATAAATTAAGTCATAACATGAAAAAAAAGTAGCACATATCATCCTAATGCAAGGTTCTTCTTCCTTCCTTCCAAAGCACTAGTCTTGAATCTGTTCTTATCTTGCTTTTAAGTAATTTATTTTGACCACCTAATGAGAAGGAAGGACTCACTGGAGAAGAGCCTAATGCTGGGAATGATTGAGGGCAAAAGAAGAAGGGGACAGCAGAGAACAAGGTGGCTGGATGGATTCATTGAAGCAGTCGGTATGAGCTTAAATGGACTACGGGGGACAGTAGAGGACAGAAAGGCCTGGAGGAACGTTGTCCATGGGGTTGCAATGTGTCAGACACAACTTTGTGACTAACAACAATCTTCTAGGAAATTAGCTTTCTGCAAGGTCCAGAGGAGGGGAAGTCCTGAACAAAAAGATTGCCAAGATATCACATGAACAGATTTACAAAAATTGGTTGTTTCTAGTTCATTATTGCTAAACTCTCTGAGTGCTTACTATTGCCCATGCAATTCTTTTCATTTACTTGCTTCATTTTTTTTTAAATCATCCTTTCCTAACTCAATCCTTTTGTGAGTTTGTAGAAACGTTTTTCTGATGGCCTATTTATTTTGAGGTTTCATTTCTCCTAATATACTGAGAAAGACACATTGGACAGTCCCAGAACTAATTGGTGAAAGTTTATAGCAGATGTCAGCACTTAGCGAACATTGATATATCTTGAAAACACAACTGGATCTAATCAGTGCTTGGATGGGAGTTTACTAGGAACTCCTAGAGCTTTAAGGTAGATGGGAAGTTTAAAACAAAACACTGTGGCAAAAGCAATGGGAACTATTTTCATACTGTTGCCAAAAATAATGGACATATCCATGAAATCACCAGGAGCTAAGTGTAACTTAAGAGATATTTCTAACTAGATAAAGTGAGGGGATTAGCTTCTGTGGTTCAAGGATCACTTTGAGCTCCAACAGCCCTAGATTAGTCATATTAGTCATATAAATTAATGGCAGAGCCTTAGTGATATGATCACACTTGCTATGGCTGTTTGATCTTTTAAGAGTGGTAACAGGAGCCATTCACAGCTTTGTGCAAAACACTCTATGGCTTATTGTATCATATATGCCTATTCTATTTTTCTGTCCTTCTCTATCCAGAAGCAACAATAATTTGTAACTAGCAATGGAATATGAATCCAGAGCAAATGAAAAGCTTTGCTGTATGTTAAGGAATGTTCCTTTAATGAATTTCTTCTTAGGGTCCCATATACTTCCCAAGTCCACCTCTAGTAAAGGGGGCACTCTGAACAGGCCAGGATAGGCAACATTCAGGGGTGGGTTTTTTGGAGGGGGAACCTGAGAAATGGTATTAAGAGCAAGATTCATCCCTAACTTGGATGATTTCACCCCATAAAGAGAATGTGGACTGAAGCATTACAATATTGTGAAAACAATCTTCTTTCTTTGTTGTTTCTATATACCACTCCTTGGGAGGAAAAGCCAATTTAAACATAGGAAGAAATTTTAAAAAATAATAAAACAACTTAGATAAGCGTCAGGCGCAATGCTGTTTGTTTTAGGAGGATGTTCAAAGTCCGTATAAGAAGTTGATCCTATCTACATATTACAAAGCTGTGTACTTGCATGGCTCCTGCTAAAACAGAATGGCTCATAAAATCCCTCCTTTCCCCCAAACACCTGGAACATGCTTGGCCTCTTAAATAAAGATGAGAAGAACTGGGTTGAAGATGATGAGGCATCAAATAGTTCTGGAGCTATAGAGCTTGCCATAGGCTCCTGTCTTGCTGAAGTCCTGAAAGAAAGTGGAGATGTGCTAAAATTTGACCATAATCTGGAAGTGGAATCTGACCATTAAACTGCCAGAGCTGAAAGGGGAAGGCAGTAGATCTGCATCCAGCCATGCTGTGTTCTTGTTGTTGCTGCATTTAGAGGAAGCAAGACAGGGGTGCAGATTTCTAGCTCACCAGTTCCCAAGGCTGTTGGTTCTTTCTTGCAATTTGATGCTCTGATGTCTAAAATCTTTGGATTTAACTCCTTTTTCACTAATCTCTTGATGGGAGAAAGGAAGAGAGAGCATCATATCCACTTTCACTGCTATATATCCATTTTTATCATCTTTTTCCACTGGCACAAAACGTAAAACAGAAACAGAAAATATTTTGCTTGCTAGAAAATATTTTGAGTTGTGTCCTGAGAAATCTGATATAGTGTAAATGTTCATTTGCTGCTTTAAAAAAATATTTTAGCAATAGTTAAGAAAAAAAAACCTACTTAGGAATTTTAAAAGTTATTTCTTTTGGCTACTTGGGACTACCATTATAGCTGGAGCTATAGGGGACAATATAATTTAATTTAATTTGTATGAGAGATAGCTAAAATATGATTTCTAAGCTCATTTTATCCCTCTGAGGAAGGAGCAGATACTTCTGAAGGCTTACGGCCCTATTATAAAATGACACACAATATTCTGGCTGCAATAGATGAACAGACCTTGAACTGAATTTCATACTTGCATGGATATTTGGGAGCAAAATCCCCTAAGAAGGGGGAAATACAAATGCAATAGCAGGATGCAGAAAACCTAGCTAGTACTCTTTACTATTCATGTTTTGTCTCTGTTTTCTCAGTGGGATGCTTGCAAACTTCCAGCGCAAGGGAACCGAAAGATCACATTCCAAAACAAAAAAAAACAAAAAAAAACAGAAGGCTCAGAAACTGCTGGGGAGCAAGTTGAGACATCAGGTGTTCAACACTGGACACAACAAGAAGGGAACCAAACAGGAATGCTCTTACAGACTGTGGCAGATTATAGAATAGTGCCTGACTTGATGATCAAGATGTGGATCTGTTCCTTTCCTTTCATAGCCTGAATGATCACAGCAGTCCAACTAATTCAGTCGCTGCTTTGTCCCTACTGCTTCCTCTCCCGCCTTCATTTGGTGAGGGTCCCACAATGGGAGTGTCAGAGAAGACGGAGCTGACTGAATCTGGATCTGACAATTTTCTCTCTACCTTCTGGACTCCTTTGGGTGGATGTTTGGGGGAATTGGTGGGTTTGCATTTGCCATTCTGGCCTTGGGCTCTGCTTGGCACGGTGTTCCGGTTTAATCCTTCCTTGTCCCCAGTCACTTCAGCATTGTGATTCGGAGTGGTGCTGAGCACTGAAGAGTTGATACTGTCCTCTTGTTGGTTAGCCTGCTTCTCATTGCTGCGGCACCAGCAACGGCATGGAGTCAGATAAAGGTAGATGAGCACCAGAATGACACTCAGAATACAGCCCACTAGTGTGGTATAGGCTGTGTTGAGCATGTCTGGGGCTCCATGAAGGGTATAGTTATGGACTGTGACTTGTACATAGAGGGTCTCATTGAACACCTGGCTTACTGCATAACAGGTATACAGACCCATATCTTCTGTGCTGATATTACTTATCAGAAGGCTTCCGTTTGGCAGCAGAGTAATAGTGTTATTATCGTCCTCCTGTTGAACATGCTCATATCGGGGTGTCACCCATTCCTTAACTGTCACTCCTCGCTGCCTGGTATCACAATTGATGGTTACCTTGTCCCCACGGTGGAACTCTAGGGCTTGCTCCTTGAAGGCACTGCAGTTCATGCCCTCTGGATCAGACAGGCTGGAAATTGTGATGTTTTTATTCTTGGCCTGATCAAAGCACTGGAGCTCTTCCTTAAAGTCCACAGCTGAGCTGAGTTGCCGCTTCTGCCAGTGGGTGAAGAGGTTGAAAAGCTCACATTGGCAGCTGAGGGGGTTGCTGTGAACATAGAGGCCGTTCTTCATCCAGGCTGGGAGCCCACTGACCTCTTTCACATGCAGGTTCTTGATCTTGTTGGAAGAAAGGTCCAGCAGTGCCAGTTCGGGAAGCTTGGCATCTCCCCTTTTTACCAGCTCTAGGGGGAAGCGGGTGATCTCATTATGGCTAAGGTACAGTTTCTGGAGGTTGGCCATGTCATCAAAAGCTGAGTGGTCAATCTTGGAGATCTTGTTGCTGAACAGGAGGAGCACCTCCAGCTCAGTCAGTTTGCTGAAGATGTTCTCTCCCAGTGAATCAATGGCGTTGGAGGAGAGGTCCAAGTATTTCAGGTGGGGGACGTTGCTGAAGGCCTCAGTGGAGATGAAGTGAAGGCCATTGTGGCTGAGGAACAAGGAATGGAGGTGAGAGAGCTGGAAAGGAGCCCACTCTGCGCGCAGGTGAGTCAGCTGGTTGTGGCTAAAGTCCAGGACGGTGGCGTAATGAGGAAGGTGATGAGGGAAGACTTTCAGGTCCGCTTTGGAGCAGCTGATGATGTTGCTGGCACAGACACAGTTCTTGGGGCAATTCAGCGCCATCCCTCCTTGCCGGCCAGTGCCCAAACTCAATAGCACCAGCAGGCAAGATGCTTTAAAGCTCAGAAGAAGACACTGACGGGTCACTAGAGCATCCTGAAACCACATGGTAAGACTCAGCGAGGAAGAGTCAGGGTCCCGTTTCTGGAGAAGAGAAGATGGAGGGGCAGGAACCATGGAGGTAGCAGTGAGGGCACTGGGACCGGCTCCACCCGGCGCTGGCCAAGTCCGGGCTTTGCCAGGAGGCAAAGCAAAGGGCGGGAACGAGGCCGAGCGGGAAGAGGACCCGCTGTGCTCATCCCCCGAGCAGGGGCGGCAGGATCCACCTGCTGCCAAGTGCGACCCGGAGGACGGCGAAGAAGACCAAGCCCTCGTCGCCCGCTTCCTCCAGCCCCGCTGGGGAAAAGGTGCCTCTCATGGACAAGTCAAGGCCGGCTCTCACGCTTTGACGTCCGCTCCTCCCCTCCTCAGCCCGTGGTCGGCCAAGCCCTGCAGCCTGCCACGCGGTGTTGCATTGCACCAACAGTCAGTCCCCCAAGCGGCAGCGCCAACCGCTCATTCACTCACCGGCGAACGAGGCTCCTCTCCCTCCGCCGCTCAGCCCATCCCGGCGGGTCGGTTCCCGCAGCGCTGGCTTCTCATGCGGCCTCCTGCCCTCGCAGAAAGGAAGAAGCGGGCCGGGCTGCCGAGGAAGCCGAAGAAGGCAGCGGTTCCTGTTCTGAAGGAGGAGTCCGGAGCCGCAGCCACTTCTCTCCGGCGGGCTTGGGACCGGGAGCTTGTCCCGCGCGAGCAGAGGGGCTGACGGGGCTCTCGAAGGACGGCTGGTGGGGAACAGAGGCTCGCTAGTGCCGAGCGGGCAGGCTTCCGGTGGTTGCGGAGCGGTCGGTCAGCAGAGCAAAGACACGGCGGGAGCCGGAAAGGTTAATCCAGGCTGGTTGACTGGAAGCAGGAAAGGCGGGCAGGCGGGCTGCGCGCGCATGTGCGCGCGTCCTGGGAGTGCGATGGTCTTGCACACACTAGCTCTTAGCACGCTCACGCTCACACCCACCCACAGCCTGTCAGGGGAGGAGGAGGAGGAGGAGGTGGAGGTGGCTGGCCAAGCAGTCCTCAGAGAGGGAGCCCCAACACACACTCACATGCTCACGCAAGTAGTCGCACCGCCGGGGCTTTGGCAACCTGGACGCTACTCCGCACTGCAGCCCAGGGACTCCGGTCCTAAAGGGAGGCTCCTCGGTCGAACGAGAGTGGGAAAGGGTGCCGAAACCTTGGCGCCTTGGCTGTGTTGTTGGAGCCTCCCTTCTCCTCCCTGCTTGTAGCCGGCAAGTGGCGCCAAGTCCCGACCTCCGATCTGAAGGCTGTTCTGGTCAGGGCCAAAAGGAGAGAGGGGCCGCGGGCGGTCTTCGGCAGGCTCGCTCTGCCGGAAAGAGCCTCCTTCGGTGGGGGGAAAAAAAGCCAGGCTGCGTTCGCGCCAATTGTCTCTTGTTGTTGTTTTGATAAAAACAAATGATATTGGTGAGGCGGGGGCTTAAAGGCGGGACGGGCGAGCGGCCCGACCAGTCAACAGTCGCTGCCTCCGAGAACGTTCGGGTTTCGTAGGGTTCGATGGGCGCCCCTGAGCCAATGAAGGGCAGGCGAGTCTTTTAACTAGTCCTTGCCCGGACTCCCTGCGACCGGCAGATCTCGCTGCGTCGCTGGGGAGCGGAAACAGAAAGTCCTTGAACGCTCCGCAGCGGTTCCTTCAAGTAACGTCTTCGCCAGCGCGCTCTTACTCGGGGAAAGCTCCGAGTGGGAAACTTGGGAGGTGGGGGGATGGCGGAGGGAATCGAGAAAAACGAAAGGATGGGTCTGAAAGGTCGGACAGGTGGCGCCGTTCCAAAGATGCTCGGGATCGGTTTCCAGAGACGTTTGTTTGACCTCTAGTAACGTTAATTCTAACTTTTGTTCCACTTTAGAATGTATGAAGCCGTTGAAAGTCTTGCCCTGAGGCGAGAGTTGAAAGGGGACTAATGCATAAATACATAGACTTAATGACATAGTAGACTCCGATGTATACCTTGGCCAACAGAAGGTGACCCAATAAAGGAAATTGTTAAAAAGTGGTTGGCAGGCATTCAGCAAGCTAAGTGTAATTTTCAAGAGTGACCTCCCCCCTATTCCTGAAGAGAAAAGTTTTTGATCAGGGTGTGCTACCTGCTCTAACATACGGCAGTGAAACGTGGACACTAACCTCACAATCGATACAAAAGTGGCGCAAAGAGCCACGGAAAGAGACATGCTCAGCATGACAAGGCAAGATAGAAATACCTGCAAATGGATTAGGGGACCAACGAAAGGATATGATATCAAGAGAGTAAAAGAATTGAAATGGAAATGGGCTGGTCACATAGCACATAGAACCAATGGCAGGTGGATCAAAGGCAATCAGAATGGATCCCACTTGATAAAAAGCCTCCATGAAAGAGACCTAAAACAAGAGGGATGGAGGACATTAGCAAATATGGTGAACAAAAGAAAGCTCAGGACCACATTGGTTGGAAACAGGCAGGCCTTCATCCTGCAGGGGATAGACCATGGCTAGAATGATGAATAGTTGCACGGCTTCTAAGATGGGAATTATGGTTGTTTCACCTGGTACAGTACAGTGTATCTATCCTGTGGATATTTACTTATCTTTCTATCTAAATATTTTTTTAAAAGAGCGGTAGTCTATTAAAACAAAACAGTAGAATCAACCAAACTTTTTAAATTCTCCCCATGCCTGTAGCTAAGATGTTTCCTCATTGCTGAAGTGTTCTCTGTTCATGTTAAAAAGACCTAAAACTCTACCAGCATGAAATCTGATCTTGCCTGACTCCTTTTTTGCCAATATTGCTTCAGTTTTGACTCACTTGGATGGTGCTGACTTTTGGAGCACAATAAGGGAAGCAATCGGTTCTCTTTTGTGTATCAACAGCTGGGAAAAATGTCTTGGAAAAGAACATGCCAGGTTGCAGCACTTCATACACTCATACTGGGGTGTCCAAGGGCCATAGTCAAAAAAGTCAAGAGGTGGCCACAATAGTGTGAAATTATGACATATGACCCACACAAAAACACTCAGGCAGAGCTTCAACTGCACCGCCACGGCCATACTCCATGGATCCCCTGGCTTCTCTCTATAATTTCTAGGGGGATCCTTCCCATATCCCTTTTCCAAAAACTCATTCTATCAAAACCTGTGCTCAAAACTAAGCAAAGGATAAAAGATCAGACTTCTGGCGTCTCTCACTGCACTTTGGATTTCTCTCACCAACAAGGCACTACTGCAACTGGCATGTTAGGCAGACAACAGCAGAATGGTGGCCAGAAAAGCAGCCCAGAATCCAGAGGAAGGGGGCTTGTGCACACCAGGCTAAAATGCCCAGGAAACAGTGCTCTGGTCCAAGAGTAAAGGGTAGCACAGTGCACCGTATGCATCTTGCAACTGCCCTTGGATGCTGTTGACTTGAGGAAAAAATTTGGTATGACTAAGGATGGCATAAACTGAGTCATGGGCTTGGGTATGAGATAAAGCCAATGTCTTGGGGAAATGGCGAATAACAAATAGATGTTATCATTTGTTGTTTTCCTATCCAAAATAATCCAAACTGAAAGCAGTCAAAGTCTTCTGTTAAACCTCTGCCAAGATAATGATACTATAGCAATAACAGTAGCACTTAGACATATATACCGCTTCATAGTGCTTTACAGCTCTCTCTAAGCGGTGTACAGAGTCAGCATATTGCCCCCAACAATCTGGGTCCTGATTCTACCGCCCTCAGAAAGATGGAAGGCTGAGGCAACCTTGAGCCTGGTGAGACTTGAACTGCCAAACTGCAATCAGACGGCAATCAGCAGAAATAGCCTGCAGTACTGCATTCTAACCACTGTGCCACCAACTATAATGATACTGTGCTTTATATTGCCACAGTGACGGTTAATGATAGTTGTTATAAATCACTAATGATGAAATCATGCTATCTGCCTCAGCAAGCACATCCATTCATGGAGGATGCTTCATATCTATTGTATCTCCAATAGCAAAGTATTGTGCAGAGGCTCAGGTGGCTACCCTACTAATCTTTTCTCTCAGTGTCTTTTATCATCACCCAGCCATCCCGGAAAGTAGAACAGTAATGAGAGACTTTTTACCCATCAGCACAATGCTGGTTAGACGACACTAGAAAATGTTATAAGTCACTAGTGGGAATCCTGCTTTAGAGTTGTTCTGGCAAGTTCAAGTAGGGAAATAGGACTCCCGTGTTCTAATGCTATACTGCTTTAAACTCACAAATGCCAAACTTAGCATCCTAAAATGAGATGTAATTCAACTGAAAAGCAAATTATATAGCTGATGTGACATAAAGATAATATGCTTCCACCTACGCATCCAATCGGATTTTCAGCCACTTTATTTTGAAGTAATTGAGGTTCTGCTGTTTCCATTCCTACATATCTTATTTGACCCAGCTGATAATTCTGAATTTTGGGAATTGTAATCCCAGGTCTTCTGGAGGGGATTGAGGAAAGCTGGACCATATACACTTTCACCAGTTCATATTCAAGCTGAAGATCCTGAAAGGTTCTCCTCATAATCACAAGTCTGTTGCCTTTCAGGAGTGAGGCAGGGTTCAAAAGCAGTTTGCTTTTCAGGGAGGAATAAAACTCTGTCAAACAAGACTATTGATCAACTAGTTCTAGGTCAATATTCATCAACTTGGTTCCCTTCAGATATATTTGCATATTTTTTTTTGCAATATTTTTACTGAACATTTTTCAACAGTTTGTAACATATATAAACTCTTTACAATGCTACAGCAATGCAAGTACTCATATATATACATAGTAGTTACATTGTTAACCTTTGCTTTTATTATCTAACCAACTGTACAGTTGGTTATATTCGGATTTTGATTTCCACAATTCTCAGTCAACACAGGGGAGATGGGTTATAAAAAAGACCGTTTTAGTACAGGTTACTCAGCCAAACAGCTTTTTGGCTTCACTATGTTGGGAAAAAAAGATTTTTATGCAGATTAGAGACAGAGAAGGATTGAGGATAAACAGTATTTCACAAATGATGCTAAAACTGGATCTTCCATTTTTAAATCACTTGTAAGTTTACATTGATGAGATAAAGGGTTACCTCCAACCCCATTCAAAGTTTATCTATGATGGCTCATAGCCATTACTTGCTCCCTGAGGTTCTCCACTCCATACTTGTTGTATCAATATTTCCTACAGTCAGATCCTTGGAACAGGATGCAGATTTTTTTTTTTTTTGCTTATGCTTTCCAGTCTTGTGAATAACACTAT